TTTACGTGTTTGGTGTTTTGGGGACCAAAGTCGGATTTAGATTGTCTCGTGTGAATGTCGATGGGCAACAAACTCACACTGAGGGCTTTGGGTGTTGACTTTTGCTTTTGAAAAGGTGGGACATTTGGGCTTTTTGTTTTTGTCCTCTTGTGGAAAATAAGGAGCAACAGGTAAATTGATGAAAAGGAATCGTGAAGATGGTTTGAATAAAGAATTGAATCGTTAAGATTCATTTTGAGAAACAAGGAGATACAAAACAAAACTATAAGATAAAAGGTAAAAGCCAACTTGAGGTAGATCGGATTCACTGACAAACATCTAACATTCAGCATAAACGATTTCACGCCATGGAAAATCTCATGCCCACTGTAATAGCAATTCACATGCTGAACTTTATAACTTAATTCGTAAATTTTCTCATAGCCTAACTACAATGAGAAACATAATTCATATTTTTAGGGTTTAAAATGCTATCTCCACTAAAGTTCAAAATGAAACAAACTTCAATTCTTACTACAATTCAAACTCAAATTTAACTCTATCCTAGAATTAAAATTCAAATCAAACTTCTAGAATTTAAATTCAAAGCAAACTCTAAAATCCTAACACAAAAATAGAAATATAAAATTATATTTGAATTCGAGTTTCTAAGGACTCTATCTATACTACTATCTCAATCAGATAAATTCTTCGAATTTGACCTGCATCAATTACATGCTGACTTCTGCATGTATTAGATTATAACAACACTATCTACTATTATCTGCATCAAATAAAATCTTTGAATATATCCCGCATCAGACCCTCCAAGGAATATACTAAGTATAAAGCCCATATATCAATTTGCACCTACACTATTTGCCCTATGGACCCCCAGATTTTTGAAAATAAACACCATTACTTGTATTGGTGTCATCAATATTTAGGTTGAAATATCATATGCCAATTATACTTATTTGTTATCCCCAGTGATCGGACATCGTTTTACACCCAAGTTTGTAAATAAATGAACTTTTTGTGGTACAAAATTTGTTATTTAATATTAAAAATTCATTTAACCATCATATGCAAATGAGTAACAACAGGAAATCTCCGTGAGGTTTGCATGATTGACGGAAAACGCTCCTAAGTTTCGAAAGTGACAATTTGACTTTCCCTTTCAATTTGTAGAAAATTAACTTGAAGTTTTTAAGGGGGGAAAAACTATATGTTTGATGTTATATTTTTTTTAAAAAAAATTAATGATTACATACAAAAAAT